TATTCATTTTTATTCAATTACTGATTATCAATTTTTACAGAATCCGCCCAATAAAAGCCTGCATATTTTTTTTGCAGAACCAATTTAATTCTCAGTAGAAAAAAATTCCATCCTTTTCTTTACCAACAATTTCATACGCCGCATAGCATCAAACTCACAGCATAAATATCATATTTCAACATACTTAGAGAATATGCTCGCTTCCCTATCATCAGCATTACGTTTCAATTTCTTCTTACTTCAACAAGTTACAAACAAAAAATAAAAAAAAAGTCGTGAGAAATAAATATCTTGAGATATGTGAAGTGCCTCTTCATTAACTGAGTTTTGTGGCAAAGAAGAAGCCAAAGAAGCCAGTCGTTTATGATTTTACTTCCTATTCACTCGTTTTTTTAACGTTCTTTCCAAAGATAAAATAATGCTTACCTTAGAGGAATGAATGGAGTCAATAAATTAGGTAGCTTATATTCCATTATAATCAAAAGACATTATAGCCTTAAGGGATTGTGCATTAATGATAGAAAATGACGAAAATTGCAGTATAATATGCCTTTTTTTTCGATCTTCGGGGGTATGAAGGATGATATCTGATATCATACAAAAATACTGATGCAATTTGTGGAAAGTAAATTGTTTGTTGAGATGAAATCAGGAAATGCTTAAGATTATTTGACTTTATTTAATGTTCAAGGTTATTCTATGTAAGGATTTTATGCTGAATCTTCTTGAAATGGTTTATAAGACTAAGTCCAACTTAGATTGCATGTATTTTGTAAATTGCGGGTCAAATCATGGACTAAATGTTTGAAAATCATATGATCATAGGTTCGAAACTCAAAACACTAGATACTAAACCTCAATCCTCATACTAACCCTTATCAACATGATAACAATCTCGACCTCTTAAATCCACCTCCTTAATGCATTGTTCATACCATAACTACTTCCTGTCCGAAATAAAACAACATCCATTTAGTCCAAAAACATTACATGCTGACAAAAAAACAAAACAAATCAAAAATTAGCTTTTAAAAGCCATCGCATGCGCTTTCAAAATTAAATTAACAAAAAGTGGTCAGCAAAAGAAGAAAAAAATAAAGTTGTGTGTCATAAAATTAGATTACTGACAATAAAATCGCAGACTTGCTTCCGTTGTTTGCGTTCATTTGGTTTGAAATAAAAGAACTATAAAAAAGATTTGATGATTGTTTTGGATAAAAGGTTGTTAATTAAATTAAAATTGAAGGGTTTAATGTTGTTGGTGGTTTTTGGTTGGGATTTTGAGGTGCTTTTGGGTTGATTGGAAGTGAATTTATTGCATATTTGAATATAAGGCAGCAAGAGGTAAAGGTGGAATGAGGATTTAGGTGTCTACGGCTTGTGGTTTTTTCACCTGCGCAGCTATAAGGTTATTTAATGCAGCATCTCAAAATTGTGGAAATTTTTCTCTCATCATTGATTTCATAATTAGAAAAACCAATCCGATCTAAACCTTTATTTGCTCGAGTCCAAACAAAGCTCTAGTAGTGATTATAAGTAGAATCAGATACAAGATCGACGAAAATCTCGAGTCGACTTCGAGCTCTGAGTGAGATTTACTCAAGAAACTAGTCCCTAACATCACAACTTCTTTGTATATCTCGTGAAAACGTGATCAATAGATCATCTAGTCGAATGTTAATGATTAAGATAGATTCATATATTGCCAAATTTCATATAGGTGCTAATTATAGATAATATACTTCAAATAAACCTCGATAATCATCAAAATTGCGAATAATCGTAGCCAAACACATCTTCTTCGACTTAATATGACAGCTCATGAACTGTCATTTCCTTATAAGATACCAAACTAAGATACACAGCACCCAACCATTTTTGCCCCATCAAAATGTCAAAGCTATTAAAATATCAATCAAATCCTATCAATTTGCTTCAAAACCTATGCAATAATATTTATTAGTTCTGCAGAACATTAATCAAATAACAGCACAGAATTATGATCAATCAAAAACATTCAGTAATGAACACAACATAGAAAATAAATTCCACAACCCAACATGCAAGCTGTCTACATAATAAAATGACTGTTTTTTGCACGTGTGTTAATTTAAGGACGTAGGTGTCGCACAAACAATTTCATAAACTGTAAAATATTTTTTTCTGGTTCTGAACTTGATTTTTTTTTTCGCAATTTTAAGTTTCTGAATATTTTTGAAGCGCTTTGATTTTTTTTTATGTGCCTGAGTTGATTTGTTGTCACTTTGAAATTTGAATGGAAAGGTGATAATGAGAACTTACTTAAAATTCGTGAAAAATTAAAATGCAAAAAAAAACATATTTTTGGTGTTTTTGACTTAAGTACTGAGTTGATTGGTGGTTCATTGACTTGGTTTTGATGAGGAATGTGCTTTGTTTGGATTGGGGTAATTAGCATTCTTATCTACTAGACGTAGAGGTTGAGCTATTGCTGAAAATATGTTAAAGCTTCATGACAAAGCTGTTGTTTGAAAATTTGTTGGGTTTAATTGAGTTTTTGACTTACTCTGCGATTAAGAGTCTATTGTAAGGTTACGTTGATTATATACTCAAGGAAGAGAGTAAGTTTGAGGTCAAGAATGCTTAAAAACACACTCTTAAGTCTGAAATTTTTGCAATTCATTATCATCATGTTGAATTTAGGATAGCACATGCCATTCTGACCTGAAACTGTGTCTTATAGGTTGCTTATTGAATATAGAGGTCTATTAAAATTCAATTAATAATTAAATCATTCAAATTTTACCTTTTCTAATATTCAGACCACCAAACTACATCTATAAACCATTTTTTATCAACTTACCTGTCATCCCAATCTACTGATTATCAAAAAATTCATTTCATATCCATTATTCAAATTTTTCAATAATCAATGCATCCAAGATATGCACCGAAAACTTGCAGTTAATTGATTGTAAATTAAAAACGTGAGATTCTTATTAATAACTTCATGGTTGATAATTTTATGGAATCTACTTAATATTCATGTCTTGTTCCACAAATTTTCTTTTAAAAATGCCATGAATAAATTGGGTTGTTTAAAATTTATTGGTTCATTAATTGATGTTACTGGATATCGAAATGGAGAGAAGAGTTAAATTTTTTGAATTGAATTGTGAAGGTTTAGGCTATAGCGAAGATAGAAATAGTGCCTTAAAATTCCTATATTTGAATCTAAACAAAACATTCAAAAATCTTCTCTAAAATTAATTACATCATTTCCCAAAAACCTCTGAATCATCAAACACAAAAACCACTCAATCTTCAATCTCCATTCATAAATCAAAACAAGCTTGATCTTATATGTCACACATGCTATCAATTAAAAACAGCGCTGCACATTCTTAAAGCCATCAAAAGCGACAAAACAAGAAAGAAAATCTTTTCAGCAAAAAAAATTCATGAATGAAATTTAAATTCGAATAAAAAAAAAATCTTTTGCTGCCTCATTTTACAATCGAAAGAAATCACAGAAGAGCAAGAAGAATGAGGCAATAAAGAAGAAATTAAGAATGAAAAGACATACGAAGAAGAGAACATTTATTGCTCACGATGATGATGTGAATGGGGATATACAAAAAGTACCATTATCTTAAAAAGTATATATTGGTTATATGTTCGAAATGTCCATTGAACGTAGCACATCTCAACAAATTATCACATCAATTAGTGTACTAATGAGCAATAACTTGCTGAGTTCAAGGGTACGGCGTGCTATGAATTGACATTTAAATACATTAAACGTGTTGGATGTGTCACGTTTGAAAGTTCTTTAATGTGGGCTTTGTTGTGATACAATTTAATGGATGATTGGAGTTGATTTTATTTAGATTTGTTGAAATGGATGGGGATATGACTCTGGGAAGCTTTGGAAACCGGCTACAAGGGTTGGATGAAGAAAATCTAAGTTTTAAGAATGTAATTAGTCAAAATCAACTCTTTATCCTGCAGTGTAGGTTCAGCGATGTCCTAAACTAGAACTTGTGACTAAATCATTAAATATAAGCCAAACTAGATAGATAGAGCATTCAAACCAACCAGTTATTTGAACTCAACTTCGAATATCTTGCTTAAGTTGCACATATCTTACCTATGATCAATTCCTGCTCATTCCTGCAATAATTAAAATAAATTCTTTAAATATTTCACTAATAAAATTTCATGTTCTTTTTCAATCTCATTCCAGAACTTACAAAGTATCAACAATAGATTCATCACAAAAACTATCAACCTATCGCCTTATTCTTGCTAACATCATCCACATCATAAAGAAGGAATTTCAATTCTATTCATAATTCTTGAACTTAGACAACAACTATTTTGTATTAAAATATAAAATTGGACAAGCAGCAAATCATGTAAAAAATTGAGAATAAGAATTAAGAAGATAAAAATAATATTTGAATGCCAATAAAGTGAAATCATCGTTTAAGAAAATAATTCATTGAGTGATTTAACACGGATTGTTATAAAAGTGCAATGGACTTTTGAGTGGACTAGTGTAGGTGTGAATAATAGTTGAATTTAGATTTCATTTAAAGCCATTGAGCTTGCGTGATCTTGGTGAACTCATATTAAATTGTTCAATTCTTAACAATCAATTTTTGAAAGATTTATAACCAACTCAAAACCAGTCGAACCAAGTCAAACTTACAATCATCATCATTATCATTATCATCGAAGCCTGAACTCCACTAAATGCAGTAAACAGTAACAAGAACCGCATGAAAGAAACATAACAAGAAATCAAGGAACAAATAAAAAGACAAGAGACACAGTTGTTAATAATTTCAATCTGACAACGAAAACAAAAAGTGCACCGAGAACAATTTCATGTGATTGGAAGAAAAAAGTGTATTGACAATGCATGAAGCCACTCAATTGCACAACTGTGGTTGAAGAGAAAAATTGTTAAGTGAATTAACGCAGAAATTCTTGTTTAACCACAATATCATGTATTTTTCTGTTTCCAATTGAATGAAAAAAGAGAATTTTTACTCATTGTGAATTTTAAAAGATTTTTTTCTCGCTTGTTACTTTTTGTGAGAAAGGAAAGTGCACAGGCAATTATAAGTGTATACGACAAAAACTTATATATCGGTTATAAATAATAAATAAGTGCAATGGCACCAAATAAATCAGCTAAGAATGGCACAGCCAACAAGAATCATAACAATAATAACAACAACAATAATAATAATCAAAAGAATGGCGAGAATGGGATCGAGAATCTAAAAAAGAAACAGTCGCAAAAACAAATCAAAGTCAAGAAACCAAAGACACGTGACTCCGATTGTTGCAGCATAAATTTCATCAAATATGTGCTGATTATTGTTGATATAGTCTTCTTTGTGAGTATTTTTTGATTTTTGTTATTTTTCCTATTGAGTTTGAATCTTAAAGGTGATTTTTTACTAGATTAAAACATTTTGAAGGCTGCAAACTCTCTAAAGTTGTTTGCCCCGAACCAATAATCATAAATTCACAAAGATTTCTTCAATTTGATCAGATTAAATGCAAAAATTTCATCCTCTAAAACTCGAAGTGGAAAATCCACCAAAAAATTAATAATCTAATCCAATGTCATTAATGTTTCATAAAACAAAACTAAATGTCCATTCATAACCGATAATCTCTCAAAACACGAACAAATTTGGATATAATCATCTTCGATTATCACAAACTAGCCACAAAAATCCCACAATATTGTCTTTTAATTTCATGAATTTTAAATTATTTAATCAATAAATTTTAAACGCATTTCTGTTGATGATGATCTACAAAATTATATTTTAAAGCCCACTGGAAATCATAAATATTATTGTAAATGACGAAAGATTCAAACAGTTTTTACCTGTTTTATTTCGATAATATCAATTTGCTATTAAATCATGCAACTTCCTAATTTAGAAAATTACAATTTTCATTGGATTCGTTCGAAAGTGACGACAAGAATGTAGTACAATATTTTGATTAAAATGAGAAAAATAAAATAAATCTTCAGGTCAAATTTGAGAAACTTTTTATTTCCTGTCCAGCCGCAATTTATTTGTTTTAAGCCCAGCTGGTAATGGAAGGTAACAAAATTCTTTCCAAAACAGCTGGATCTTGGACATACAACTTGCCAAAAATAAATATGAATGAATGAATGTGTTTTTATAGCGTGTGGGAGCTACAAGCTTCAAAAAATTATAATTTTTGTAGATCTCAAAATAAAACAACAGCAATTCAATCGCTTTTGGGTTATTTCATTCGGAATGCTGAAGAGCCATTTGGAAATAAGTCTGAATTCATATTTTTTATTTCTATAAACAAAATGTTTATTGCTCTTAGGAGATAATCGTTTTGTTTTCTTGTTGTGATGGATTATTATTGATCATGTACTAGAGCTGTAGGCTCATTAGGGAGGTCTGGGGTTGTTATCTTGTGCATACTCTAAGGCATCTTCTAGGCATATTAGCTAATGTGTGCTAGAAGTAGTAACCCTAGAGTATACTCGAATCCACAGATATAGCTAGCTTCTTAAATAGTTCTAAGACCTTACTAGTGCTCTTAGTAACCCATATGAGACCTAGTATCGATATTAAGGATCTGTACTCACCACCGCCAACTCCTCAGTAGCAACAAACATGCAATTCTTAAACAGCTTTCCGGCCACAAACAGCTACAAATTGATAAACCAGACACATCAAATTAATAAAAATCAATTTCATCACAATAATCAATTTCCAAGCTTACAACATTTTAAAAACAGAAATTATTCACTTTGATATAAACTTATTTCTCAATCAAAATGTATAATCATTTTTTAATTTGATATATTTATGAAACTTTTAATGCCTATTTTCATAGCTCTGTGCTACTTTTTTTTCATTCTTCTAATTTTTCATTTGTAAGATTATTATTGTGAATGCTAGAATTGAAAAGAAAGAAAAAATTAATTTTCAATCCACAGAACAGTTCAGTTCTATTCATCATACACAAATCTTCTCATAAAAGAGATGAGAAAAAAAAGTCCAAAGTCATACTTAAAAGTGTCAGATTTAAGTAGTTGAGCTCCACTCAACGATCATAATCCGCAAATGTTGTTTATCGTTTTCATGTGAAGATTATGTTTTTGTGTTACAAGCAAAACAAACACGATACATTGTGATCTGACTTAATCAAGATGACTAACAAATGTCCAAAGAAATGATGCTTTATGGTTGAGATTTATTTTTGAAGTTGTTGTTCTCTTGTTTACGATTTTATGTTTGAAAATTTTCAATTTGGTGAAACGGAGTTTGTTTGGGAATATGGATAAATCTTAAGGATCCATGGGAGGGGAAGGGGTTCAGAAAGAAAAGAACAATAGAAATTCCTGGAAATCCATTGTAATGATTTGAAAAATGACCATTAATTTCGGACGTTATAAATGAACGACCCCTTAACAGCCTCTTAAATCCATCAATATAAACCACTGATATTTACAGAATAAATATTGACAGACATTTCTCTTTTAAATTCCAATTCTTTACGATAAATAAATAAGTTTTAAGAAGTCTTTAAAGATAAAATGTCACAAGATGCTCAACTGACTGTTAAGTTCACGACATAAAGAACAAAAAAATGACTCAAAACAGAGTAAGAGAGAGAAAATTACACACGAAATAATTTGAAAAAATTCTCAAGTAATTCTACTCAAATTCCAGTGACTTTTAATGGCATGGTTCTTGAATTTATGTGGCTATAAAAATTGAGAGAAAAGATTTAAAAGATGCAGAATTAATTGGTGCAATTTTGGATGATATTTGAGTTGTTTGAACTTCCGAAGTTACTGGTTATTTAAGATTAATTCCAATTTAAGTTTGGGCAGCTGGATTTAGGAAAATAAAGAAGAGCATGAATGAGTCAGCAATCCCTAAATGTTCAGGTTCAGATTCTATTCATATTTAATTTACTTAACCAGTGCTCCGATGCTTCGTAACTATACAAAGTCAAAAATTGACTTATAGACTTCATAAATCAAGCTGAATTTACATGCAATCCTTGAATTTTCAAATTATTGATAAACCTAGAAATCTCCTCAAAAAACATAAATCATCCATCCAATAAAAATAAATTCAAACCCAACAATCTCTTTCCTGTGAAATCTAACAACATAGCCACCAATAAAATCATAAAAAATCTATTCCTAATTGACCTAAAAAGGAAATGAAATTTTATTCCTCCAAAAAAAAAGGTTCTGTAATTTGATAGTAGCAGTCAAGAACCGGTTCTAATTTATTACATAAAGAACTATTGAATTCGTAGCCGCAAGGGACACAATGTCTCTTTAGATACCACCAACCAGCAAAGTCGATGCTCTTGTAATAATTTTAATATTAAAGTATATGATGTATTATTAAATACTAAAGGAACAATAAATCTTTAATTTATTGCCGCTTCGGACACACACGATCATTAGTAAATGAATGACAATTAGATGTGTAGAGAATAATTTGAAGTTTTGGAGAGAAATTAGGAGGATGGAACTTATTTTCGAGTTATTGATTAACTAGAATGGATGGAAGCTATTCAATTATAGGGAAAACTTAAGTGAGGTCAATGCAAATTTTGAATGATCTTTCAAAGATTCTAAGATTTAAATGGAAATAGTAACAAAAAATCCTTGTAAACTCAGTTTAAATGAGCTATATTAAGAAGATTCATTAATTTGCAAAATGCTTAAGTTCGATTTACACCAAAACCTAATCTTTCAATTATTCATGCTTCATATTCAATCTAATTTAAATTCCAATTCTCGACAATAATTTCTCAATTCAAAATTCACTTTAAAAAAAGAATTATTATTGTTATTCTTATTAATTCATTGTAAAACTCTTAAACTGTAATAAAATCTTATGACTTTTTTAAGAACTCGAGTGACTTAAGTCATTGGGAATGTGACTGAAACACGAGACTTTTTTAATAATCAATTTTTTCGGATCATTAATTTTTTCTTCTTTAAATTAATTCCATTTAAGTTATTCAAATTGTTTTAAATTCTGTGAATTTTATGGTGGAATATGGAAGTAGTTTTGAGCTGATTTGAAGGCGACTTAATGGTCAATTTCAAATATTTGAGAAGATTTTGAGATGAAGTTGAATTTTTGAAGGTTTTGTTGAGTTATTAACGATATTAATGAGGGAATTTAGGGTGTGAGCTAAGATATAATTTAACAATTTTCATTAAATCCATGCCAAATGCAGCAACGGCCATTAAAACAGTTCCCAATTATTCAACTATTAAAATTCAACAACTCATAAAACTAATTTTTTTAACTAGCAAAAATTCTAAAAACAATAAAATTATTTTACATCAAACAAACTTAAAAAAATTTTATGTCTAAAATGTCACATTTAAAATTTTACGACCAAAGCTTATCTGAATCTCAACTAAGTGTTTAAAATTTCAATAATTTACTCGACTAATTACATTAAATGGGCAAGTTTTACAGTTCATAAAAATAAAATTGAATCGCTGCACAGCAAGAAGTTTTTTTTCCTCTAAATTGGATTGAAGAACCGCTTGATGCATGGAACTCTTATTTAATCATGGAGTCGTGCAAGGAGGAATTTTGGGAAGTCTTCTATTTATAATATTTTTTAATCACATTGCTTCATTGGATGTTACTGGCAAATTGTTCCTTTATGCAGACGATGCTGTTCTCATCAATAGTCACGAAAAAAATGACAAGGTAGAAGACAAAATCATCCCAGACCTAAGGAAACTTTTAAATTTCTTTGAGAATCAACGTCTATTTCTCAACTTCGATAAGACACAATTCATAATCTTTCATTCACCATTCATGAAGTTTCAAGACAGCGATATGATTGACATAGATGGAAAAAGTATTAAGAGAGTTGATTGTGTTAAATATCTTGGACTATTTATGGATCAACATCTTAAGTGGGATAAACACTGTCAGGCTTTGGAATCAAAACTAGCCTCAATATCAGGGATTTTATGGAAACTCAAGTACAAATTGACACAATCAACCAAGAAACTCATCTACCATACACTATTCGAATCTCATCTAAATTATATGTCAATGATTTATGGTACAGCTTGTCAAAAAGTGTTAAATCCCGTCCAAAAAATTCAAAATCGAGCTTTGAGAAGTGTATTTGGTGTTGACTTCCTCGAAAGTAGAGTGAACATGTATTCTCACTTGGTCCAGAATTGCCTTCCAGTACGTGCAATCAGCTTCATCAACTCAGCGACTTTCATTTACAATAATCTGGCTAATAGGATCCATTCCAATGTCGTTTTTGAAAGAACCACATCTAGCAGCAGAACGAGGAAGTTCGGTGAGCTTATTAAACCGCTTTCAAGAACAAACTATGGAAAAAAGAGAATAACGTCAATTGGTGTTAAAATTTACAACAAAATTCCTCAAGATCTAAAGAACTTACCACACATGCATGCTTTCAAATGGGCATTGAAATGTCACATACGCAATGAGCAGATGATGTCACTTTTCCTATCGGGAGATTATTTGAAGCAACTTGAAGAGACCTAAAACAAAAAAATTTTTAAATCATAAAATGCCTGCTTGCTTGTTATTATCCTAATTGAAACAATTCACCTGGTATCTATTCCGCTCTGCATTACTAATTACTGCTTATTACTTCTTGATGTTGACTGCACTGTGCAAATACTTAATTCTCCTATTTTCTATTACAATGTCGTTAATTTTCAATTTTTGTTATGTAAACATTAACTTGGCTTATTATTGCAAAACTTACAGCTCAACTTTTTCACCACTTACAATTTTAAATATCTAAAAACCGTTAAAAACTGTCAAATGTCAATCACCGTAATATTTTACAAACTTGAGATCTTCAATGTTCTTTGAATGCTGATCTCACACTTTATTCTATAAATTGTAAATCTAGTATTAAGTTCAAAGGTTTTTATGCCGATCTCAACAGTAACTGTTAATACTGTTTAGAATGGCTTTTCCTTTGCGAGTTAAAGAAGAGAATAAACAAATAATAATAATAATAATAATAATTTTCTCTTCTTTGAATGTCAGACAAATTAAATTTATGACATTCTGTTCGATATAGATTTTAAATAAGAATTATTTCGTCATATTGGAATTATAAATTGATGGTTTTTGGAAGAATTAGACAATTTTGGAGAGATTTCCATTATCTCATGGTGAATTTCCTTTTTTTTGACCCAAAACAATGATAATACTGATTAATAATGAATTTTCAAATATAACGAACTTTCAAAATTTGAATTTTTCAAACTCCTATTTTTTATCCATCTCGAAAAGTTTTTCGAGTAAAAAATATATTTAATCAACAAATTACAACAAGTTTGAAGCCAAATCATCTTCAAAAACATGGCAACCACCGAACCAGCTAATCCTACAACTTTTTAACCATTTAATTTCCATTTTATTTGTCAAACAAAAATAAATCCAGTCAGCCATGCAAAAGTACACTTAAATTCTTATTCAATTTCCCATAAAATCTACAAATGGGACTCATTTATTCATGATGGCAAGCATTCAGCTGTTTAAACTAATGGTCATTTTACTGGTTTACTTATTATGTAAGTAAGGCTCGCTCAGATGTTGCGTATCCAGCTAGATTCAAAATCTAACTTGTCTTAGGGTTTCATAGTAAGAGACATCACTTTTAAAAGACCCCCTTTTAACAAGAGATCCACGAAAGAAAGTCAAAAGGCATCTCATAAAATAAACACTTGAAACTGTTCACATAAAACGAAAAAAAAAGGAACAAAAATTAATGATGCTCTGAACATCGATATGCTGTGCACTCGCACTTAAATATTGACTATGTTGTTTGCTTAACAAATTGTTCATTCTGACTGGATTGTGATGTTGTCAGCTTATGGTTGCTGTATTAAAAAGGCACATGATTGCTATTATGAACCAATTTCTTCATCTCGTCTTTCATAATCATTAAGTGTGGTAGTCATTATTGGAATTAACATTAGTCACGAACGATTTTTCATCTTTTTTCAAAAGGAATTCCAACAAAGTAGAGGCATAATAGAGTCATGTCGAGATGACGATCATAATTTGTCATTGCTGAATAAAAGGAAATATTTTTTCAGCCGAAGATTTATCTTTGAGGCTTCTAAATGTTTCTTGTTCCAAATTTGTAGTTTGGAGTGATCGGATTAAGATAAAAAACTGAGATTAATGGATGGATAGGAGAATGTGATTGGATTGGATGTTTAGGTATAGAAGATTTAGAGCAAGTATTTATGTGCCAAGTTCTTGACTGATTTTAGAGCAACCAACTTCCATAATTCTAAAACTTGGATTAGAAAATGACCTGGAGCCTCTTCATGACTCAAAGTTTCAATATTACTCATCAATCTTGAAAACTGATCTTATTTGGCTATTCAAAAATCCAAATCATGTCTCCAAAATTCTTTAAAGAACTTATTTCGCATCAAATCACAAAAATCCACTTGGACTTCAAATTTCGTCACCAATTCCATAATTATTGAAGACATTTTCTCAAATAATTAATTCTGTTTAAATTCCCGTGACTTATCATTTCCAAATTTGGTATCATGTTTCATTCTCTCAATTCATAACCAATAATGACTAACAAGCTGAGATTGACAATAAAAGTAAGATCCCAATGAATAAATAATTCACGAATCACGATTCCTAGAACTTTTGTTAAAGCCTAGAATATTTTCTAAGATTGATCATCTAAGCATAGACATCAATTCTTTTGGGACTTTATATTTTTGGATAGTTCTGCTTAAAATTCGAGAATTTTAAATGCAATCCGATCAGTCCATCTTTGTGTGGGATGAGGAATGAATCTCGGCTTACTCCCAATAGGATTAAAACAACAGAAAAGTCATGCAATTTAGAAAACACAAAAATGGAATCGAAAATTAATAAAACATGTAGTTTTGTGTCATAAAAAGTCTGTAAAAGTCTTCAAAGTTTAAAAATTGATGCACATGACATTCATTATTGTGTTCCATACACACCCACCTAACAACTAAATTAGATTTCATCGTAACTATTAAATGTCTGGATAAATTGACGATCGGAAAGAATGAAAGCACAAAACAAGAAGAGGAAGATCATCACAATCAATGGTTTATGTTTAAATTATCATCAATTTCTGAATTGTTTTACATTCGAGATGTGACGAAGAACTTAGTGATGACTCACAAGAATTGGGAAATGTTTTAGATCTTCTCAGCTTTATAATTGTTTACGGTTGTTTACGTCTTTTTGTCTCGACATTTATGATTATATATGGACTTGCTACATGCTATGGATTTGTTTTCATTCAATTTTGGATTTCTGGTGATTTTTGAGAATTTTTTTGGGGGGCTGTTTAAAAGGTGCGGAACCGAGTTATTTAATAATCAATGATACTGAGTTTGAGTTTCAGTAAGGAGGCTTCAAATGCGCCCCTGTTCTCTAGTTTTGCTGCTGGTCGTGATCCTTAGATGCTATTCTACTCTTCCATAGGCCATACTTAGGCTGTCCATCAGATTTTGTCGATTTTTGATCAAAAAGTGAGACATGTCTTAATAGCACCTCTGAAAAAGCGGGACAGACCAAAATAGGTGTAAAAAAGCGGAATTGTCCCACTCAAAAGTGCGCAGTTTTACAGCCTAGCCATAACACACTATTCAATCATCCCCATTCCTTAAAAATTAGCATATTCTTATTCTCATTCTTATTTCTATTTGATATTCTAGTTCGTAAAATTATAGACAGATGATTTTTTTTTGAATTTGAATGGAACAACACGTAAATCCAATATTTATTTTAATGTCATGTTTGAATTTGCTTGTATGGAAATTTTGATTTGATTGAAAATAATCAAGTTTATGCAGATTTTTGCAAGCTGTTCGTGAGATTGGTTTGCGATGAATATGGTGCTTGATTGTTTAGAGTGACACGTCGCTTTGCGGAATATTTAATGACAAAAATATTGAAGTGTGAATTCTTGGAACTAGTAACAATTTTTTTAAAGACGTGTAGTTAGATAGAATGGACATTCAATCACTCGAGTAGCACTCCATGCTGTCAATTTCTAACTGTCCATTCAAAAAATAATTTTTTTAATTATGTTGTAATTGGATCACTAACACTTAAAGGCCTCATATGGAAACAAAAATATGAAATTTGAACCATTCTCTGACTCATTAAACCGTTTATTGTCAGCATGACTTTCCGTCTTAAGCCTTTAAAATATTCTTATCGCAAATCAACTTCAAAGAAGAAAAATTCAGCAAGAATATCACGTTTCTATTTGCCAAAACTTTTATTATATCTGTCATATTTTAGCACTATTCATGAAATATTAACGATATACAAATCATATTTTTATTATCGTAAGTTGATCTTCAATCTATGCGGAATTTGAAAATCGTCGATAAATCAATATTTGGTTTAGAAATAGTCATTTGACATATTTAAGTTATAGATTCACATTTATCATCAATCAATCAAAGCTTTTTTTTTTGTCATATTAAATTGGATGTGAATGAAATGAATTTAAATTGATTGTTGGGGATTATTTTAATCCCTTGAGAGAAAGATTTTGAAATTCAACATAAATTGATATTATTTTTTGAGTTTTTCAAATTTTTAAACTGTGAAAATAAAATAATATTCACACAAATTTTCAATTTTTGTGAATATATTAAATTATGTTTTTTTTCTTTGATTTTCTAAGTTTTTTTAAAATTTCAATTTTTAGATTTTTTAAAATTTCTTTTTAAAGATTTTTGTATATTTGAATTTTAAGATTCATTTAAATTAGAACTTTAAGATTATTTTAAATCTTTTTTTGTTTTAAAAACTTCAAATTTAAAATTTATTGAATTCACTTAAAATTAGAACTTTAAGATTATTTTAAAATTTTTTTTTGTTTTGAAAACTTCAAATTTAAAATTTTTTCAATTCAAAATTTTTTATTTTTTTTAATGAACAGTTTTTAGAGGATTTCCTTCAATAATTTCTGACATTTTCATCACAAGATTCTATATTACACACAACCTCAAAACAAATTGAATCACAAAAATTCTCCAAGGATTTAAAAACCGTTTAATTAAAGATAAATTAATCCACAATAGCACCTTCCACTAGCTCGTTATTTAATAATCGATGATTGATTTATTGCTTTTCAACTCATTACATTGCAGCTCAATATTTCGAATGCAGCAAGTGAATAAATATTGACACATGTCACAGCGAACAAGTTTCGACTGTCTTTTCCGTATTTTTATCTTAAAATATTCTTACGTAATATTTGCATTTTAATTAATAAATTGATGTCAAATAATAAAAAAAAAATACAAGACAGATGACATTTTATTGGAACTAATTGGATGTTGATGTCAGTAAAAAACTAGCTTGTTCAATATTAAAAATAAAATGATTTTAAAAAAAAACCCGAAAAATCTTTTGCAAACATAATTTATTTTCTAAATTCTGATGAGATTCGAACTCACAACTTTCACTCCAACCATCAACTTCCACCCCAATGCTAGCAAACAGAAATTTTTGAGTTCTTATTATTCGAACTTCGAATTTTTGAGGTTCTTATTTTTCGAAAATCGAATCTTCGAAATTCTTATTTTTAAAAAAATTCGTTGTCAATTATTATTTTTCGAGTAATTTGTAATTTTAGTGAACATTTCTACTAGTTGTTATGATTAAGATAATCACTGTGATGAAATTGCATTCCTTAAATGTTTATGCTTTAAAAAACATCTAGTTTAAAAAGAAAATAAAAAGGACTTTCTTATTTTGAAATTTTAAAAAAATACCGCGCGAAAATTTTGAATTTTTTTTGTTTGTAACGGACTCTGTTCTCTTTGCTAACATTGGCTTCCACCAAATCATAATTTTATAATTTTAACAATTTTCCCACATTTCATTTCAGATGTCCGGTACAGCAGTCATAGCATTAAGTGTGTGGACATTATTATACAAGCATCAATATGTAGCATTATTAACATCATCAAGTTATCAGTTCTGCACATATGCACTACTATTAGCCGGCATTGGCGCAATCCTTTCAAGCATAATTGGATGTTGCGGTGTAAAGCGTGAAAATCGCGCAATTATTTTAATTGTAAGTATTGAAATGAGTATCTTAAGAAAATCAATTCTGTAAGTTGTTATTATTATCGTCGTTTAAATGGATTTTGTTGTGGACATACTGGACTGTGCGTAAGTCTTAATGGAAGTCATTAAGGGAGAATTGATAAATATAATTAGGGAGCATTAAAGTTAAATGTCACTAGAATTGTGATGTTTTAAAGATAGATGAAGAGTTTGGCTTCAAAAATAATCACATGTTAAGATTAAATATGAATTGTAAGGATTTGAACATTTTGAATAGTAAATAAAAATATGCAATCATCGATGGCTTCAAATCATTAATTATGTTTAGGATTTGAACCTTATATTTTAATCTAATTTACAAATTTTTCACGAATTTTTATATAACTGACACATTAAGTTCAGCAATTTACAAACTCAAACGACTTAATTTCCAATTCATGTCCATAAAAACATTTAAAATCCATCAAAATATCCAACATAAATTCCAAAGACCGATACAAATTTATGCAAAACATTCAACCACTATCAATTTATGCCAATTTCATCTAAATTAGATCTAAATTAATCACATTTTTTTATGTACCAGCACACCTGAGAAATTTCCTTAAAAGCATACTCGCTTAAAAGTTCCATTTCATTTCCATTCATAAATCATTCAACATGTGCTTAGCGCAAAAAAGAGCTATTGAATCGACACAAAATCACTACATTAAGCATGTCAAGCTATTGAATCGTGTTTAAACTGCTGTCAGCAAATTACATGATAAAGAAATTCGCCGAGCATGAGTTATTACAGCCATAAAAAGTTTGCCATGGTCTGGCTTCAAAAAATAAGAAATAAAATTTTAAGTGATGTGTTTTGAAAAAAATATTATTTTGTACAGATATCACGTTGTATTATTGTATGGAGATACCTAACTGTAGCAAATATTCTCTTTCTTCTCTTTAAATAGTTGAAATTATTTTTTTTCCTTTCGTTTCTTTCATTCTTTCAACTTCATTACTCAACAAATTTCTTTGATCTTTTTTTGGCGAAAAATAAGTTTTTTTTTTCTTTCTTGAGAATGATTTTGCGGTAATGAAATGGATGTGTTGAGGTATCAGATGGAAATATGAAGTTTTTAGTGATTAGTACATATGCCAAGGGTTATTCGCATGATTTACTCCGGATCAGATGCTTTAATGAGGGCCGGTTGCTTTGTAAAACTTGAGATAAACCTATCAACTGATATTCGGCATAATTTTCAAGTTTTTTTTCAGGGCAAACAATTTTTACTTTCAATTAGTCTAAAACCCTGCATTTTTATGATTTTATCTAAAATGCGCTCTATTCATCAAAATCTTCCTTACTTGTATATTTTTCTCAACTACAAAAGAATAACTAGTTCTCCATTCATTTACATATCGATGAATGCTTTACAAAATTTTTCTTGTTTAAATTAAAGTTTTTTTTTTGCCACAAAGATCGAAAACAAAAAGAAAACGTGACATACATGTCACTTGTTTGTAGATTTCATTTCATTTAATTCTCTTTGATCCCTTCGGTCTCGTTTGCAATTAAAAATGTTTAACTTAATGGGCGGTAATTGACATCGATCATTGATCATATCTAATTAATGAGATTTATTTATTTTTTTTCCATTCCATAGTACATAATCCTCCTCATCTTAGTCTTCCTATTTGAGCTGTCAGCTGGTGCTGTCGCTTATATTTACGAAAGAAATGTTTCCGATGAGCTTAACATGACGCTCAGTGACACAGTCAAGAGCAACTATGCCATCAATGAGCGTGTGACGAAGGCTGTTGATCTCATGCAACAGAACTTTAAGTGCTGTGGTGCAGTGAAGTTTGAGGAGTACAATGAGAGTTTGTGGATCAAATCTACGAAGGATGACTTGCTGGTAGAGAGGGATGGACGAGTCGTGCCTGACTCTTGTTGTGTGACATTCAATCGGACTTGTGGGAGAAGCTTTCATCCATCGAATATTCCTTATACTGTAAGTTCAATTTCTCTAGTCTTTGGATTAAAATTCTAAATCTTTTCTATCCACAGGGCTGCATCTATAAATTCACAGACTTCCTTCGTGAACAGCTGATCATCCTCGGATCCGTAGGATTAGGAATTTGCATAACCAAATTATTTGGAATCATACTTGGATGTTCCTTATATATCAAGCTTAAGAAACTCTACGAACACAACATCAACCAAACTCCAAAACATCTAATGACGAGGGATCGAGTAAGTTTCATCTACGGAATCGATGAATCTGATGACGAGAGGCTACCAGATCCGCCATCGAGTATAAATTATCGCAACAGCTACATGCCAGACTTTTCCGAGAGTAGTGCGAACAGACCAGATTCCATTTACGATAGAAGGAATTAGCTATTGTGAAATAAAAAATGACTAGGAATTTATGTGTGCCTTAAACTTTATTTATATGTGTACAGAGAGAAAAACATTTATTTGATGTATAAAGTCATTAATTGAATTAATTTATAGTAATGTTAAGCAAAAGAATTGTCAAAGAATATTTACCTAACTAGTTGTTATCGTACTTACTAATAAAATGTTGAAAATTATTGCAGATTGTCTAGTTTACTTGAATTTTCAGGATGGTTTGGTTTGGTTGCGTCAAATTACTGTTTTAGTGCATCCCTAGTCCCTAGTCTCATAGCTTTTATAATTTGGTCTTCATGAAGTGAGCTGATTAAACAATTAATCCAACTCAAATTTTAAATCCCCTGATTAAAAATAATCAAGTTTCTCATTTTCCTAACGTTCAAAAAATATTCAAATATTTAATTTCAGCAATTCAGCTCAATTCAGCCTAGATTTTTTAGGTTAATTTACCGGCTTAGTTTAATTACAACCAAACAAGACTTACAAAACACGATCCTGTTAGACATACTTAATTCTCATTCCCTTATCTACTCCCAGTTCAACTTTGAGATGACATTTACTATTAATCTTAAAAAAGTAATTTCAACCATGCCTCAAAAATTAACGGTTATGAAAATTTTAAATATTAAATTTTTTATTTTTTTTTATTATTATTATTATTATTACCACGTTTTTCTTAACTTGCTTTCTTATCTGTTTATCTGTTTGTCGAGATCAAATTTTGTGATCAATTTTTCGACCACTTCTGCTGCTGCAATCGAGCTGAAATTTTGCATGCACTTATCTTTCCGATAACAATACAATATTCAAGCATTTTCGAAACTTAAAACTGCTTAATTATAGTACAATTGAATTAAATTTTCTATTCTTTAATTCTTAGCTTATTTTTACATAACATATGCACAACTTTCAAAAAGCCTTTATAAGTTTGAAAAACAAAAAATACATTATACGACTTTCTATGGTTTGATTCTAGTTTACAAACTTATGCTGTGCGATAGCACTGGATGAAGACTTTCTGTGATAAGAGTCTAGTTTACAAACTAATGCTGATTGATGGATACTTTAAATAATTTTTTAAAACTAAAAAGTAGAAAATATATACTTTTTAAAAAAAACTTTTTAAAAAACCACGTTTTTACCCGTGGACTAAAAAGTAGAAAATAACTTTTTTATTGGGTTCAAAGGATATTGGTTTGAAAAATTGAGATTGATTTGAAAGTTTCATACTAAAGTCATGAACATACATGAATTGCAAATTTGTTCACTTCGACCATATCGTATAGTTCTACATCTTAAAACGTGGGCGCATTTATATGAAATTTAAGCTTTCCAAATATACACCATTAATGAATGCGCCCACGTTTTAAGATGTAGAACTATACGATATGGTCGAAGTGAACAAATTTGCAATTCATGTATGGTCATGACTTTAGTATGAAACTTTCAAATCAATCTCAATTTTTCAAACTAATATCCTTTGAACCCAATATAAAAGTTATTTTCTACTTTTTAGTCCACAGGTAAAAACGTGGTATTTTAAAAAGTTTTTTTTATAAAGTATTTTTCTCCATCATAACAAAAATTCATAAATTCAGAAGAATATTAAAAACACCAGAAATACTGAATCATACTCAGAACTCAGAACTATCAGAACCATGGAACAATTTTTTAATTTACAACACAAAGTTGTTTTTCATCGAAAAGATGAGACATTTGGGCGGTTTGAGCACTTTTGTAAAGTTTCGTCCTCAAACGTAGTGGCATTTTCTTCAGAAATTGATATTAAGACTGGATCTAAAGGTTTCTTTATTTATGTTTTTGATTTAAACATTCCATGGTGCACATACAAGATCGCTACAAGGTCTTATCCGATTACTGTGCTTGAATGGAATCAGAGTGGATGTTATTTGCTGGTAAAAATGTCAAATTTTTAAATTTTAGAAAGATGAGAGAGAATTCAACCTATTTGCGGTGAAATGGCATCAGTGGCATAAATGGTAGAGCGTTGGCCTTCTGTGCCAAAGGTCCTGGGTTCAATCCCAGGCCATGTCTAATTTTCGAAGCTCTTTTTCCATTTCACCGTTCTAGTTACGAAGTTCGGTTCGTGCGTTGGGTGTAGTTTTGAGGTCTTTGGTACAGAATCTGCCTCCTTTGCTAGGTATACAAGGATATACTAGCATCTTGATGACTTCCTTACGGCATCTTGCGCACACGAATTGTGACTAGGTACATTGCAGGGTACATCAGGTCTTATGACGTACTCGTGTCTTTGCAATGTGCAGAGCTTGTAAGTGGTTCAGATCCCACTATAAACTGTAGGTCTAAAGGGTGTGGTACAATAGATTCTGTTCTAATTTGAATCGCAGTGCCTCCAGCTGAAAGGCTGGGCCCTTCACACATTATTATTATTAATATTAAACCTATTTAAGCTAGAAATATTCAACTCTGATGATTTAGTCGATGTTACACAAGACACAGAAGTTGTAATCGTCACTTCTAAGCTTAAAGCTGGAGTTTTTGATTAAAGTTTTTAACTATTGTATCTTTTAACTCATCCAGGTCGCCGACAATTATGGAAATGTATCAATCTACACTCAGAAGAACAACTTACTTGATGAATTTTACGAGGTCTATAGCATAAACTTCCCAAGGTAAATATCCAATAATTCTTTTCAGTAATATCCAATTTCCATCAAAATCTCCTAATTTTTAGTGAAAACATCATCGCAGCCAAATTCTTTTTCAACGGAATCAAATATCCAAAGTATCAACATGATCAGATGCTGTACACAGACAAGTATCAAAAATACAGGATCCAACCAACAGTAAGAAATTTCGGAGCATCTCCAGCAACTGGATTTGTAGTAATTACCTCAACAGGTGTCATTGGTGCTTATTCCTTTGACACCAACTCACATCCACCTACAAATAATAATGTAGAGCAGTGTAAATTCATAAAGAATCTTGGACAGAATAGATGTCTATACACGAACGCTGATATTGCTTTTAAAAATGGACAATTTTACATTGCGGCTGCAAATAATGGACACAAGAATCCAATCATTCAATGCTACAGAGTACATATTGAGAAAGTTGACGAAGAACTGATCATCAACAGTAAATCCCTTCCAAGCTTCTTTGTTAATGAAAATGCAGCTGCTAAAGACATGTCCGACTTAAAATTATTCAAGTTTAAATGGATGACGCAGGAAGATGCTGATGGATTGATTGTTCTTTCGAATCATCTAAGTGGAAGTGTTGTGGAAATCTGGACATTGAAGGAGGAATCAACTCCAATTCATAAGTTATTTCAGACAAATAAGAATGAATGCTACAAAACATTAGCATGGTCGAATCAGCAGTCTTATAGACACAGCAGGAAAGTCTTGGACATAATAACCACAAAAATTCAATTCGGTATGAATTTCTACTTGTTTATTGCATATCAAGACAGTTCAATCCACTGCCTGAACAGAGAAGGAATGAAACGTGTCACCATCACCAATATAAACTTCAGTGCATCAGCATTAGAGCATCAAACGAAAATAATCAAAATGACATCAAAAATGGCTGCTCTGGATATCAGCTTCATGGGAAATATGCTGTTTGCTATTGATTCCATTGGACAAGTCGCATGTTATAAAGTCAACTTTGATCATCTCATGATGAACGCTGTTCAAGCTACAAACATGCTCGAGTATTGTCTCATTAGTGGCGTTGACTCACTTGACGTAATGCTTATGCTCAAAATGACTCAGCCACAGATCATTGACTCAGTCATTGATAGAATGACTGAGAACTTCAATAGACAACCAAACTCAATCACTCAATTCTACTACCTTAAATTCTTAACAATGAAGATCAATTTGTACCGAATGTCAATCTCTGGACAGAGCAAAGCTCATGATTTAATCTGCCTACTCAATTTGATCTCCATTTCTACAGCATTTAAATCTCTATTAAGACCTGCTGCGCCGGCTGATTTAATGACCTTTAAGAATGGACCAGCGGAGAATTTGTCAAGTAAGTTTATATTGGATTTGTAAATGTGTCGGTGAGAAAGATGAGACCATACATAGAAGTGGTTTCATTTAGAATGTAAACTGTTATAAAAATTTCTGAAAAAAATAGAAAGTGGTAATGCAAGTTTAGTTTTTCCCAGATTTGCCAGTCACGAGTTTTTAGATTTGATTCTTAACCTTTATATTATAGCTTTATTTTAACCCAGCTAGCAACGATTTAATACTGTTCACTCTATTTACAGTGATTCTATCCGAAACAACCGTCAACAATGCTGATGTCGACAAAGTTCTTTTGAACTTAGAAGCTAAGGACTTTACAGTTGAGCCGTCAACTTTACAATCTCTTCAGCAGTTAATTCAATTTGTTGCTGACTTAGCTTTGAATATTTTGGTAAAGTTACCGGAAGGAAAGACATTTTTGAATACAAACAAGACTACTGGAGATTTGTCAGACTTTACGGCATTAAATACGATTCGGGAACTGTAAGTAGAGTTTTTTCTCAAGGACTTAAGGTATGGAACTGATCAATCACATTTTGATTAGTTCCACACGCTTAGATAGATTATTAACTTCAATTTCCATTTCAGACTGGTTATGATCAGAATTTGGGGACTTCTTCAGCCTCAATGCCTCCCAATATTCTCACGATCTGCTGATAATTTGGATATTCTAGCAACTTTATTCAGATTACTTACAAAATTATCTCCTAAGCCAGACTGGTAAGTTGAATCTCTATTGATCTGACTGTTCCAAGTCCTAATATTATTCTATTTCCACAGCCCCGACGAACAGCTCCTCGATGAATGCTGTCTACTTCCAAGTCAAGTGCTAATCCCACAAGTCCACCTCAACACACCTAAAACCTCACTTTCGTCTCCACTTCTTAGTAATTTGCCACTTCCATTACAACTTACATACTTTATGGAACATGAGGCATTAGATTTTACCCCAGACATTCATTACGTAGAAGGATGTTTGATGAATCATAGCTTGATAGACTCGATAAGATATCTACATGTCAACAAAAATGCAAGTAATTTGAGAAGATGTGTGCGATGTGGTGCTACATCTATATATAAATCAAATATGAAGATTTCGACGGCTATGAAAGCTTGGGAAAACCGTTGGGACGTTTGCAACTTTTGTGGTGGCAAGTGGAAGACTGAAAAGGTTTAGATTTTAAAGAAAAAAGTATTTAATAAATTGAAATTTAAATAATTTTGAAGTTTTGGATTTTATTCGGTGATCGTTTATTAATGACTTCCTTAAATATCGGACGTCATTATTGAATGATAATAAATGGTAAATCTTTCAACAAAATGAAACGCATGTTCATAATTTGAATATTTTAATAAAATAGTCATCAAACCAGCTTAATATTAGGATATAATATTAAGGTTGAATTTAAGTTTATAAATTAAGTTTTTAACTTAATTCACTTAATTCGAATATGCATCAAATTCTTTGGAAAGCTTATTAGAACAAGTAGCAAGTAGCATAAAGTATGGAAGCCACAATCGTCATAAAGGCAGAAGAGAGATCCACTCGGTGTCAAAGCTCCTTTCATAACAGGAAAATCTTCTTCAATCTTCTTAATTTTCAAGAACTAATTCCAAAAAATCCATCAAGTTAAAAATCCCCGCACAAAGACACATGTAGAAAGGAGTAAACATATAAACAATGCTTCAGTAAGCAAATGTCAGTGGGCACATGTCCCAAAGCTATTTGAATAACATTGGAAGAAGAAAAAATATCTGAAGAAGATTACTCTTTTGCCAATTCACAAATGCAGTGTTGAATTGGCTGTACAAAACGAAAGACGTAAAATTTGAAACTTGATAAAGAATGCAGATATTTTTTAGAACAGTTCCTATTCATTTGTGGTTCTTAACAATATGGAGTGTATCCAAAATAATTCAATATATTTTTAATCAGCAACAAACAGTGTGGGAAATGATATGGCAGAGAAGCATAGATTATTATGGTGTGTGAATTAATTAAATCAGTGCAATGACGCATTAGAATTCGTATGGAAAGTTGAATAAATCCATGTCTAACAAGATATAATTTATTTCAGAACAAGATAAATACAAACTATTCGAATATGGAATATTAGTGACATCAACTGCCACAAGTGTCATAGTCTTATCAATCTATTCCTTCTTTGATTTTACACAAAAGCCAGCTTTTATTCGCAAATATAAAATCAATCCAAATACAAATGAGCCACCGGATTCTACAAAGTTTATTAAGGTATGTTGCGATGATGCTGTTTTATGGCCCCTAAAGATCACAGAAAAGCAAGTTAAATTATAACCAAAAGTTATAACATTTTCTTAGGTTAAAATAAAAATTAATTTCTACTTTAATATTTTCGTCAATAGGTCATTAGTTACAGTGTTATAAATGTTATCTTGGCCGTTATACCAACTACTCTTCTAGCATATTATGGACTTAAATGGAGAGGAATACCTAGCCTTTATCCCTTACCAAATATTCTCACTGTCCTAATCACATGTTTCATAAATGATCATATCTTTGATGTTAGTGCTTATACTACTCATCGCATCATGCATCATAGGCTGCTTTACAAGCACATCCATAAAATACATCATGAATATAAATCGACAATTGCAGTTGCAGCCTTTCATTCACACCCAGTTGAACATTTACTTGTTAATTTACTTCCTTTAGTTCCGGGCATAGTAATTATGAAGTGTCATATAGCAACAGCTTGGATATATCTTATAGGTCACATGCTATCATCGTTTATAACTCATTCTGGTTATCATTTGCCGTTCTTAAATTCGCCTGAATATCATGATTTTCATCATATGAAGTAAGTTTTGGATTTTGCATTGATTTGGAACCAGAGTCTTGTTTAAAGAGTCTACAATGCCCAATTTAGGAGAATTTCTTGTTTCTCGTGCACAAAATCGTTCTGAAGGACATAATTATAATTTTAATTTATTTTTCTAGATTCGAGTGCAACTACAGCGTTTTGGGTCTAATGGATTGGATATTTGGAACAGATAAATTATTTAATAATACAATTTATCATAAACGTGATAAGATTTTGTTTTCTTTAAAATCAGCACATGAATTGTATCCTAAAGAAGATGGAAAAGTTGTAAAAACTCAATAGAAATTTCTTTTAACACTCTTGACGTCAATTTTTTGGTGGTTCGAAAATGAAATTTTTTAATGGAAGCGCCAAACAGCATATGATTCTCTTACTTCTTAAATATTTGATTCTCTCTACAAGCCTACTTTTTGACATTTATTCCTTTAAAATATGAAAAAAAAATCGTGTTCAAAGACAATGACTTATTGCTAGTCATCTTAACACACCATATTTCCAGCAAAAATGTCAAATAAAATAAAGGTAAAAAAACAAGTTTAAATTTATTTTTATTTAAAATTTCAGTTTCATCTTAAAAATGCCAAAAGAAGTTCACAAAATATTACTCATGCGTTTGGCGACTTCTGTGAAAAATTATAAAAATTAAAAATTCAACAAAAATGTAAATTTATTTTCGGTCTGTTTCAAATTAATTCTTTTTTTATATATATATATATGCACATTAATGGCCGTTTACTTACGACGTCCTAGGGAGGGGGGGTCAACAAGAAAAGAACAATGGAAATTCCTGGAAATCCATTGTTCTTGATTCAAAGAAAAATGACCGTTAATTTCGGACGTCATAAGTAAACGATCCTTTACTAGGCATATCAAAAGTGTATCAGTGCACCAATAATGTGAGAATTAACATCAAGCATAAAACCAAGTAAAACCCTTTATTTCCTAAAGTGTGGCCGTCTATATTTTTGTTCTTTAAACTTATTGTTGCATCGGAAAAACCAGTCATTAATAACCTCGTCTAAACTAGTTTTACTTATTTTTCTTATTTTCTTGTTTGATTGCATGAAGTCCATAGTGCATTCCAGCATATCTAATAATATTGTATATATTAAAGAATGGAGTATACCAGATTCCACGCACTGCGACCGTTTTACAATTTTTTTCATTTAATATTTTTTCAACTTCCGATGGTCTGATGAAATGATACCAGTCGTGAGCACCTTTTGCGAGAATTCCAAGTATATGCTCAGCAATAAGCATTCCAAACCATGAGATTAGAGTTCTATTTGGTGTTGTAATGAAAATACTTCCATTTGGCTTTACGCATTTTGACAATTCATCGAGGAGTGCTCTTTGGTCGGGTACATGCTCAATTACTTCACTGGCAATAACTACATCATATTTTTCAGGATTATTGATTGAATGTTCCTCAATGTACTGTACCATATATTCAATGTCCAATGGTTCATTGCCAAGATGTTCCTTAGCTACTTTTATAAGAACTTCCGATGGATCAATTGCTGTAATTTTTGCACCCATTCGTGCTAAAGGTTCAGCAAGAACACCAGCACCACATCCAACATCGAGGATATGAAATCCTTTTAATACATCCGGTTTGTTTCTATCTGCAGCCTTTATTCTTCCAGTGTTAATTAATTCATCACGAATGAGTGATATCCTCACTGGATTAATAGAATGTAAGCAAATGACCTCAGAGTTCGGATCCCACCAATCACCAGATAAATCTTCTAAAACCTTTAAGTTTGCTGCATCTATATTATTATTGTCTTTTCTGTTGATTAATGACAATAATATTAAAATATGTCAAGAATTTTTATACTTCCTATTACTTACTTCAGATTGTTCTCCATTCTTGACTTTTTCAAAATTTTATTTGAAACTCTAAGTTTCCAACTTAATCGACTGATCGCTACTAAGGATGATTTTGCAATGGACATTTTTAGACTAAACTATCTTAACCTTTATGTGTCATTTAAAAAAAATACACGCGTACATTTTTTTTATGCAGACGTGTACCGTGGGGGACAAAATTTTAAAGGATATACCATGGGAAAGAGAGTTTTCTGCTTAAAAGGAATTGTTTTTAATTAGCAAGATTATATAATTTTAAACTTCTAATCACGTCAACAACCCCCACCCCACCACTCCCTCCAAACAAAATCGGTTTCTGAATAAGACGCTGATCAGCAGAATGTTTGAACAGGTTTAATAAGATTTTTGAATTCATTTATTTCAATTTTAATATAAAACTCGTAAATAAAATGTTTGCACAAATGCAGAAGCGTACTGTTTGGATGTATAATGCTCTTAATAATAAAAATCAAAAATTTAAAAAAAATAAGTTTACATCCATCAAAGGCTCACTTCAAATATTAGTGACTTGATATGAAGAGAGATCTTGATACAAAATTTGACATTCTTCAAAAATTTGACGTCCTTTTTGATTTTTTTGCTTCTTCAAAATTGTTAATACAATCCAAAAATACATCCACTTCAACCCTCCTTGTTTCCTTACTGGATATGACTCTAATAACAATTTGAAAATCTTGTTTTAAAAGATTAAAATGACTCGAACTGCAAAAATGAGAATTCTCGCATTGCAACAAGCACACATGTGCATTTTAGAGATCATTGGATGATTTTTAAAGATCAGACCAATAAGCAGCAATTTTTAATTCTGGATGTCAACTAACATTCTTAATTTTTTCTGAATTTCACGATTATCATCATGAGAAGGGATGTTGATCTAGATATCAATCCTAGGCTTCTTAGAATAATCAATTTTAGTAGAGTAGAAGTTCTAAATAGAGTGTGGCAACAACATGGATTTGATCTTCAGGTGCTCTTCAGCTTGGTTTTGTTGGATTTGCGACAACTTTAATTGTGATCAGGAATATTGCATTGAAGTTCTCTGAGTCATTAAATTTTCTATAGTTTGAAAAAACCAACCTCGTCTTCGCTAAACTGCACGTCAACATTTACCATATCTATATATCTTTATAAAAATCAAGGCGTGGAAACTCAAGATTAATCCTGAAAAATCCCAATGTGAAATCCCTTTTAAATCCCAAAGTTATTCATCAAATGCATCATGGATTTATAAGAGATTTCACATTTCCATGTTTATCGGCTCAGGGAATTTTTTAGGATTTTAGGGATTTTTAGGATTAATCCTGAGTTTCCACGCCTTGATAAAAATATTGGACAAATATTTTGGCCAAAATATCCATTCCGATTGCTCTTTTCGACGTCATTTTCAATGCTTATAGTAGCACTTCAAGGAGTCGTAAAATGATAACCAAAACAAACTTTAATATGAAAGGAGTCAATGACTTACTACAGAACGACATAAGGAACTTTTTCAAAAAGTAACAACGAAATTTTAAAAAATTTTATCGCTTAAGATCTTTTGACATCCCTTTTACCGAAAAAATGAACATCTCTATAAGGTCCGTTCGCTTGTGACGTCCAAGGGTGGAGCGGAATCATCAAGAAAAAAAAACAATAGAAATTCCTGGAAATCCATTAATCTTAATTTCGGACGTCAAAATTGAACAACCCCAAAGCAAAATGTACGTTAATGCGCTCTGACTGACCTTTCCTCATTCCGAAAAACCCACAAAAAAATTAACTTTTTGTCAAGGAGCGTCAGTCAGTCAACATTGGAAATTGAGATACAAATATGATGTATATCAGGAAAGAATTTTGATTTTTATAGAAAATGGTTCAGTATAGAATTGACTGTGTCAAACTACAGACGGAAAAACATTTAAAAATAATGCAAATACTTTTTAGATCAGTTCCTATTCATTTGTGGTTCTTTACAATATGGAGTATATCCAAAGGAGTTCAATTTATTTTTAATCAGGAACAAACAGTTTGGGGAATAATTTGGAAGAGGTTAATTGAATATTTTGGTATGTTAATTAATAAATTAGATTGAATTTACTTCCAAATCAGTAAATTAAAATTTTTGGATCAATTCTTGCAATTCATGCCTTTATTTTATTTCAGAAAACGATGAATATAAATTGTTTGTGGATGGAATATTTGTGACTTCATCTACAAGTAGTGCTTTAGCCGTCTTGATATATAGCTTCTTCGACTTTTCTCAAAAGCCAGCATTCATCCGAAAATATAAGATCAATCCACATACGAATGAGCCACCAGATTTCAAAAAGGTTATGAAGGTACGGATACAATGAGGTTCATGCTCCTTTCAAAATTTAAATATTTTTATCCACAGGCCATTTTTTATTCTGTTATTACTGGAATTTTCCTCGCAAAACCAATCATCATTGCTGCATATTATGTTCTTAAATGGAGAGGAATGCCTAGCCTTTATCCCTTACCAAATATTCTCACTGTCCTCATCACATGCTTCATAAATGATCATATCTTTGATGCTTTTAATTACACTATTCATCGCATCTTGCATCATAAATTTCTTTACAAGCACATCCATAAAGTTCATCATGAATATAAGTCAACAATTGCCGCTGCTGTCCTGTATTCTCATCCAATTGAACACTTTTTTGCTAATTTACTTCCAATTCCTTCAGGAATTTTAATAACGAAGTGTCATACAGCAACATCTTTAGTATATATCATTGGACACATGCTGTCATCAACTATAACTCATTCTGGGTATCATTTGCCGTTCTTAAATTCACCTGAATTTCATGACTTTCATCATATGAAGTAAGTTTTAAATTTGAGAATAGTTTGGTTTTGGCAGCTGAATATTCGAAGTTGATGCAATAAAAACCTATTCTACCCCACTAAAGGACGTAAATTAAGCCTTTTTAAACATTTCCAGGTTTGAATCCAACTATAGCGTTTTGGGACTAATGGATTGGATCTTTGGAACTGACAAATCCTTCAAAAATACAATTTATCATAAACGTGATAAGCTTTTGTTATCATCAAAATCAGCACATGAATTATATCCAATACAAAAGAATGAAAAGATGGAAAAACTTAATTAAAATAAAAATTAATATTAATCAGACTTGTGAATTACAGAACAACCTAAATGTTCTCCAAAAATAATAAAACAAATTGAATTGTCATTAAAAAATTTTAATTCTTTTTTACAGAGTCAAAGATGTAGTCTATATAGAACTGCCACAAATTGTTTTCAACCTTAGGCACGTGTTAAGATTTTTAAATTCTTCGAAAAAGATTCAATTGAACTCTGCATTTCTAGAGTGAAAATAGTCACCTTAACGCACCTTTAAAAACTAAAACACTTTAATGACATTTTATTTGCTTTGTCATTCTGAAAATAACAAATAATTTGACATTTTAAAGCTCACAATAAGAATTACGCCCGAAAATACACAGAAAACCCCATTTTTATAAAATAATAAATTTTATATTAAATATTTTCCTTAATAGAAACAAGTTTAGCAGTTTCCAAAAAAGGAATTTTATTTTGATTTCACTCAAAGATTTTAGTTTCGTTTTCAAATAGCCTCATGCAGATCATAAGATCTTCGTTGTGCACTTAATAATTGTTAAAGATTTTTTCAAAAAATTGTCAAACTATCAAAAATTGTTAAAAATTGAGAAAATTGAGTGTAGAAAAAGACTCAGCAATGCAAATTTACTTTAGAACAGTTCCAATTTACTTCTGGATATTCACAATTTGGTGCATGTCTAAAGTCTATCAGTACATGTTTAACGAGGATCAAACAATTTGGGAATTAATATGGAAAAAAAGTTTAAAGCTATTCGGTGAGTTGGAAATAAAATTGACAAAAGTGATTAAAAGTTGGCAAATGACTTGATGCCTCAGTGATAGTTTAATTTAGAGGTTAATAGACTCTGCAACAAAATTTTCAAAAAAAACAGTTTATTTGAATTTGATATGTTTTGAATTCTCAATCAGCCCTCCTTCACCAGCCTCCCCCCCCCCCCCCCCCCCCCTCTCTTCAAAAAAGAAATCCAAATCAGCTTTAGTATAATCAACATCAAAATCAAAGCAAAAATTAAATTAAATTGACCATGCAAAAATGAATTAGTTTCTAGACATAACGGCGCCACAAGTTTTATTATTAAGATGCTTTTAGGAAATTTAAATTTTTTCTACTTTTGAAAGATCTATCGTATGGCATGGCAAATGACTGACTTATGATTTCTAAGACTTTTGTAAGGTGTAAGATTGAGACTCATTTAGCAAGATTCATACAAAAACCTTTTACCTTTTGGCTCTAAACTTTGAATCCTTTATTTAGATGAATCTCAGATCATTCAAATTTTCATTTTTGACAAGAGTGACACCCTTTCTTAGTATGTCTACCAAGTTGACCTTTCAATTGTTTCATATTTTTAAAAATAAATAAATTTTAAAAATTATTTCAGGAGACGATGAGTACAGCTTATTTGTAAATGGCATATTGGCTACATCAACGATCGTTTTAGTTTCATTAATGACAATTTATTCCATATTTGATTTTACATTGAAGCCAGATTTTATTCGTAAATATAAAATCAATCCAAAATCAAATGAACCACCGGACGTAAAAAAGTTTATGAAGGTAAAGTGCTGAATCATGAACTTTGTCAATATAACAACATGTTGCATTTTTATTCTAGGTTCTTCTTTGTGCCAGTTTTACAGGAGTGTTTCTGACAAAGCCTGGATTTATGGCTGTTTACTACGCATTTAAATGGCGAGGATTTCCAAACATTCACATTTTGCCAAATATTACCACAGTCATGATCACATGCTTTATAAATGATCACATCTATGATATTGCAAATTATACTGTCCATCGCACATTGCATCACAAGCTTCTATATAAGCACATCCATAAAATGCACCACGAGTTTATCTCAAGCATTGCAATTGCTTTGATTCACGCCCATCCAATTGAGCATTTGTTTTCAAATATATTCCCGATTGCAATTGTTCCATTTGTGTTAAGATGTCATATAAGTACAGCATGGATCTGGGTGATGGTTCTTCTAGCTTCATCAATTATTGAACATTCTGGATATCACTTGCCATTCATCAATTCAACTGAATTTCATGATTTTCATCATGTTAAGTAAGTTTTGTGACTTAAGGTGTAGCGTATGGGTGTATGGAATATTTAAACTTGTTTCATGTCTGAAAAGCTTATCATTGTCATTATTATTGCAGATTTGATTCCAACTACAGCACATTAGGACTCATGGATCGGATCTTTGGAACAGACAAGGCTTACAGAAATTCAATTAATGCTAAACGTGACAAGTTATTGTTATCATTCAAGTCCACTAGAGAATTGTATCCAGATGAAGACAGTAAAGTTATGAAAAATCAATAAATTTATTTTATATGAATTGAAAATTTAATTTTTGTAAATAAATTTAAAACTGTTGACTGATCGTCGATCAGTTGTGATACCGTTTTTATGTCTTGGATTTTTGAATTTTGTTTTTGACGTGCTAAGTGTCAGAATAATGTAAAACGGTATTCCTGATCTTCAAATTCAATCCTAGATATTAAATATGATCACGAGTAGTCAGCCAATCCTCCAATTTATAAGAATAATCTAAACAGCTTTTAAACATTTGAATTAAAAAGCTTTCATAAGAAAACTTTTAGATTTACTGTTTGAGTGTTTCTGACTTATGTCATTTAAGGAACGAAAAGAAACTTAAAGATTTAAACTTTAAGATACTTAAAATCAATATTGTCTATACACTCTCAATACATAGAAATAGTGCTACACTTTGAGCTGAGACTTTGTTGACATTCAATTTAAATATCAACAACTTCCAAAAGAAAAACCCAAAACTGAAAATCATAGATACAAACTTATACAATGAAAAAGAAAATATTTATTTTAAAATTTAATGCCATCAATGCAGTGCTGATTTGCATGTGGATAGATAAAGACTCAAAAATATCAAAGTGCCACAAAACTTTATTTATGGTTTTGCCAATTCTACACTTTTAATAGTAACTTTAAATTATTTTTAAAAAAAATAGTTTTTTAAAAAAATTATATTCAAAAGTTTTGAAAAAAAAAATTCAATGCGAAATTTAGTATTTTTTGGTATGTGAAATATTTCATTAGGTATTAGAAAAAATGTAAGTGACAAAAAATTATTAAACAAGACAACTTTTAAAATTTAAAATATCAAAGCTCGTTGTCGATTCAAAGCTCCAATAATACTTTACAGTTTTTTGCTGCGATTCAAAACTTTTAAGGGGGGGGGGCAATACCTTCCTGGCTACGCGCCTGAAGTTCACAGATTTACCCTTAGCTACGCCCCTGTGTTTAGGAATATTGTTTTGTTGTCAAAAACTTAGTATTTTAAAACAAATAATTAATTTAACATATAAAAAATCAAAATATGAATTACCCACCCCCCCCCCCCCCTCCTCCCTCTGCTCAAAAAATTTGCCCCTTCCACATCACATTTTTTTAACTTTATTATTATTATTATTATTATTAATATTAAGATCCAAAGAATACAGAATATTACACAAATAAATGAGAGACATACATTCACACCGACTGAACGTATTGCTGCTCTTACAACAACGTAACAGTGGGAAGGGATATTTTCGGGCTCTTCCTTCATTTTTGAAACAACTTTAATTTACTAGGATTTTGAGGAAAAAAACCTAACCTAAACCAAAAATTTATCCAAACTCCCTTCAAAAATTTCGGGCTACTTCTGTTTCTTATTATCTTGCTTAACAGCTTGTAGGAAATAATGTATTCCTGTATATTTCAGATAATTGAAGACATTTAGAAATACAGTATACCAAATTCCACGAACTGAGACTGTTTTACAATTCTTTTCTTCCAATATTTTCTCAACTTCCGATGGTCTAATGAAATGATTCCAGTCGTGAGATCCTCTTTGGATGATATTAAGAACATATTCCGAAATTATCTTAACAAGTAGCCATGAAACTATAGTTCGATTAGGTGTTGTGATGAAAATACTTCCATTTGGTTTCAAGCATTTTGTCAATTCAAGAAGAAATGCTCGCTGATCTGGAACATGCTCAACAACTTCACTGGCAACAATCGCATCATATTTGTCAGGATTATTAATTGAATGTTCTTCAATGTATTCTGCAATGTAATCTACATTTAATGATTGACCTTTAATATGATCTCTAGCTACTCGGATAAGTTCTTCTGACGGTTCCAATCCTGTTACATTAGCATTCAGCTTTGCTAATGCTTCGGATAGAACTCCAGCTCCACATCCAACATCAAGTATATTAAGTCCTTTCAAAACGTCCGGGTTATTTCTATCTTCAGCTTTTATCATTCCAGTGCTGATTAATCCATTACAAATAAAATCCACTCTTATTGGATTCATAGAATGTAATAAAATCTGAGTTCCGGAAGGATCCCACCACTCTTCAGAAACGGTTTCCAAATGCTTCATATTCTTGACATCCACATTATAGTCATTTCTGTAAGTTTAAAATAACCTATTTAAAATCAAATTCAAATCAATAAAACTTTTAATTACTTTTTAGATGATTCCATTCTTCACTTGCTCAAAGATTTTCACTTAAATATTCACCAGCTAACACTTTAAACGTCTGGCTTGTTACTAATTACGATATTCAATATTCTGTGTTAAAAAGTTCCTCGTTTAAACGTGACCTTCAAAAAAATCATTTGTGCGGCTCGTGCTCAAACTGTGATGTACGATACCCAACGATTGTTGCTGTTAACATTTAAATTTTATAAGAAAATTATGGTAAAAAAAGATATTTTTATGATAACAAAAGTTCGATCATTACTGGATTATGGTCGTGTGTGCAAAAAAAAAACTAAGCGGACTTTGTGTCAATAGAACGGGTTTTTATTTGAAGATGCGAAACAAGACAATTTTTTTTTTTTTTTGCAAAATGTGTTAAATTATTGAATGTTAAGAAAAAAGTCGATCTTGTTGATTTATAAGGTTTCGAAAAAAACGACTGTTAAGGCCTCCTCCGCTTTCACCATAAACCTTTAAGACAAATGTAATAAGTAAATTAAGAAATATGTTAGTAGCTAATGAAGTTGCACCAGATGCATGAGTAAATTTACACTATGGGATCCCCCTTATTGACTTTTAGATCCTTGAAGACATTATAAAATATTGTTTACCAAAGCTGCATTAATCCAGATGATATTTTCACATTTAAAACAATTTTCTTACTTTCGAAATTCATTAATTTGCAAGAAAAAATATAAAATTAATCAACTCACTTGAACAACTTGTTTCTCAAAATAGGGGTTTAGAAAGACGACAATGAAGTTGAAATGGAATAAGATCGCTGCTTTGTTGAGTCAAGATCTTATCAGATGAACTTGCAAATGGACCGATTTGTAGGGGCTGTGTTGGGCACACTAAGACAAACATGAAATTCGATGTCCTTTAAAATGACATTTAAATAAATTTAATCTAAGAATAGTATAGGGTGCCCCAGGAAGACCAAGGAACCAATCAGAGGTCTTTAACTAATAGAAAAGGTTTGAATCTGAGTTACAGATCACGACTGTGAGATTTGAACTCACGTTCATACAATCTCTGGCTCTCGCACTTTGTTTTTTAAGGTTCCTCAACTGCATTGCAAATTACAAACTTTTCCTTTTCATGGACAGACAAATTTAGTCAATTGTCAATAGAGTTATTCAAAGTATTCCTCAAATGACTACCTCAACACAAACTGTGATGTTCAATCAGAGGTCAAACAACTTTAACATTTGCCAAAAAATAAATTTTAAACTGGTTTTTTGTTTGCAAAATCCGATAAAAATATATTTGCTAAAATTTGCAGACATTAGTTAAGCTTTGGATGCGAACAACTCATGACATAAAAATCTTTACAAATTTATTATTTTATTGCGTAACGCAAAATCGAAATCTTTTCAAATGTGTTACTTTAAATTTTATGGCAGTGCAATGTTTTACTTCTGTTTTTTATTATCTTGCTTAACAGCTTGTAGGAAATAATGTATTCCGGTATATTTAAAGTGATTGAAGAATTGTTTTACAATTCTTTTTGTCCAATATTTTCTCAACGTCTGATGGTCTAATGAAATGATTCCAATCATTAGATCTTCTTTGCATGATATTAAGGACATATTCTGCTTTTATTTTAACTAATAGCCATGAGACTATAGTTCACTATAGTTCTATTAGATGTAGTGATGAAAATACTTCCATTTGGTTTTAAACATTTTGTCAATTCATGAAGAAATGCTCGCTGATCTGGAACATGTTCAACAACTTCACTGGCAACAATCGCATCATATTTGTCAGGATTATTAATTGAATGTTCTTCAATGTATTCTGCAATGTAATCTACATTTAATGATTGCCCTTTAATGTGATCTTTAGCTACTCTGATCTTTAGCTATATTAAGTACTTTTAAGACATCCGGTTTATTACTATCTTCAGCTTTTATCATTCCAGTGCTGATTAATCAATCTCGAATGAAGGCTTTAATTTTACACGTGCTAGTACTTTAAACGTCTTCTTCGTATTAATTTAGATATTTAAATAAATTCATTTGGTATTAAACTAAGGCGCATAGCTAGGGATCGGGATTATGCAGACAAATATGTCAACAGAAATTTCTTCATTTTGCTAGGGTTTTTGTGAAAAAATCTTTAAAATGCCCTTCAAATTATTGACTCCGTTCCTGATTAGGCAACATCATTACAATTGAAACTTCAAACCCATATTTTGTAACACACATAATATTTAATTTAATAAAACTGTCAATAACTTTGTTTGTAGAACTTTTAGTTTATCAAATATTAAATAAAACTTTTCAACTACAGAGATTATGAATGTCAAACTAGACGAAAACGCATGGCTTAGAATAATCTAAAGAGACACTTGAACTTACATCTATAATTTTCTAGTCAGGTGTTCTTTCCACTAAGCCATTAGGATACTGTTGAGGGGTCCTTGATTTTATGGAAAATTCCACACTACTCACGGTTGTTAAAAAAGACGACTAAACATTCAAAACAACATCTGCGAAAAACAAAAAAAGATCATAAAAATCATAAATTTTATTCAGGCAAAATAGGACTAAGCTAGGCTTGAAAAGTCAGAATAAAAACATTTTAAGACTATACAGTATTTATTCAGTTGCGTAGAATCACAGACGTATCGACAGATTTAATTTTTAATTCAAGTCAAGCCTCGATGCAAAGACTTTTCAGAACAGTTCCACTTTATTTATGGTGGCTTTTAATTTGGTGCATTTCAAAAGTTTATCAGTTGACTTTCAAGCATGAAAAAACAGTTTGGGAATTATTTTGGGATAAGACTTTAACATTTTTTGGTATGTAAATTTTTTAAATTATTTGACAACAATAATTCAAAGTATGAGGATCTGGGAGGATCTTAGTCACGTCCTAGCCATCTCTTGCCCAAGCCTAGACATAAATCACATCTAATAGTATTAAATCTCACTGCACACGCTATTATTATATCCACAAATTTTGGTTTTTCCAACAACTTCTTAAATTAATTGTCAAAAAACTGGTTACAAGTCATTACGCTTTTTAAAGTCTTATTGTTCTTAATTATCTTTTGTGCATGAATTGAAACAAAAACTAAAATCAAGATTTATCTCCAAAATTCCCGCAGCAAGAACACTTGATGGCCTCTAAGTAGAAATAACAGCAAAGGATGTTGATTATTTTTAAATAAGTGTGCAGTGTAAATTTGACTACGAATAACTACGGTCGTAAAATTTAATTAAATAATGCAAAAATTGTTTAGAACAGTTCCGATTTATTTTTGGTTCTTTACAATATGGAGTATATCCAAAGTAATTCAGTTCATTTTTAATGAGGAACAAACAGTTTGGGAATTAATTTGGAAGAAAAGCACAGGATTTTGTGGTATGAACCATCAAATTTAAATTTGCATAAAAATTTCGTACGTTGAGTACAAAGAAAGGAGAGTCTGCATTAGCAGATATAAAAGCATTTAAAAAACTTCCTTAAAAGTATTTTGCTTAAATAAATTGCACACCTGATATAGTCTGTATTTAAATTCTTTCAGATAATGATGAATTTAAACTATTTGTTTATGGAATTTTGTTTGCCTCGAGTATAGCAAGTGTTTCAGTCGTTTCAATTTATTCCTATTTTGACTTTTCACAAAAGCCAGCTTTTATTCGTAAATATAAAGTCAATCCACATACAAATGAGCCACCGGATTTTAGACAGTTTATGAAGGTAAGTAAAAGATCTCGATTTCGGACGTTAATAACACCAGTTCAGTTCTGTTCTAGTCCTAGTTCTATCCTAATGTTGATGCCAATGCCAATTAGTAATTTATTTAAATATTCTCTTCCACAGGCCCTCATGTATTCAAGTATAACTGGAATAACATTTCTCGTACCAAACTTAATTTTTACATACTATGGACTTCAATGGAGAGGAATGCCTGCTCTATATCCCTTACCTGACATTTTCACAGTCCTCATCTCGTGTTTTATGAATGATCACATTGTTGATATTGGTACCTATATTGCTCATCGTACCCTTCATCATAAACTCCTTTACAAGCACATCCATAAGAAGCATCATGAATATAAGTCAACAATTGCAGTTGCAGTCATATATTCACATCCTATCGAACACATTTTCTCACATCTATTACCACTAGCTTTTGGTATGATTATTATAAGATGCCATATTGCAACAGCTTGGATATCAATCATGGCTTTTATGATATCATCAACTATAAATCATTCTGGTTATCACTTGCCATTCTTAAATTCACCTGAATATCATGATTTTCATCACGTGAAGTAAGTATGAGATTACGTAATGTTCCTACTAAGGTAATTTAAGTGTAAGAGTACAGTCTAAAAGTAAGACTTACAACGACTCTAAGATCAACAAGCTTTACTTTTGGGAAGTCCTTAAGATCCACATAATTCATATATTCGAAGGATCTTCTAGTATAGCACCAAGAGTAACAGCAAAATAGGCTTAAATTATTTTTATTTTTTTTTTCTAGATTTGATTCCAACTACAGTGGATTTGGACTAATGGATTGGATCTTTGGAACTGATAAACTTTATAAAAATTCAATTCATCGACAACGTGATAGGCTTTTAGTGTCATTAAAATCAGCTCATGAATTGTATCCGAAAGAAAAAAATGAGAAGAATGGAAAAATGCTATAAATGTCTAATAATTATTTAATTTATGACTAAGACGAGATCAGCTCTTGTGATTAGAATCAAAATCGCGACAACTCGTCAGTCATTTCGCAAAACTTTGCTAATGAAAGATTTGTTTTTGTTTTTTGATTTGAAATCATCAACTTAATTAATATTAACGACTCAAGGACACAAAATGGAAATAAAAAAAATCTAGCTCAATAATCATAAAAATCTTAAGAACAATTTAAAACATAATTTCTGATTCGTACGCAACGGAAACAAGTTTCTTAAATTGGACAATTCTTTTTTTCTCGCAAAAAAAAACTCGACAATTTTAATAGTCAAGATTCTACTAAGTATATTGAGAAATAATGTAGATTTTGCGTAGCTTAGTCGCTACGCACTAGTATCAATACTTATAAAGAGGCAATATATATTAATTGATATCCAAAGCTTCCATTAGATGGCGCCTCAAGCTTAAACGCATGCTAACCATCAATATCAATTGTCATACTGTCGAGAGCATCTAAGATTAATAGATTCTTATTTTTTTTTACTGTCTGTTCGATAAATTGTTTGAAAATATTTATAAGTAAGATAGATGATGGGGGGTAAAATCCCCGAAAGATATTAATTCCACGATCCTGCGGGATAATAACCCCGAAAATCGCAAATTTTTAAATGTTCCCTGCGGGATAATATTCTCACTTAGAAATACACGTGGAATTATTATCCTTCCGGAAAGATAATAATCCCACCTATAATTACAAGTGGGATTATTATCTCCCAGGTAGATAATAATTTCACTTACATTTCTAAGTGGGATTATTATCTTTATGGAACACGATTAAAATTATGGATTAAATCAAATCCAAAAACTTATTTGTCATAGTGGATAATAATTCCACTTGTATTAATAAGTGGATTTATTATCTAATAGGATTTTCATCCAAAAAAAATCCCACTTATTAATTTGTCAATTTCATTATTCCAAAAACTTAAATAAGAAGAAAACATAAATATTGGTTGAATGTTTAAGTTGAAAACTTGGTTTTTTATGCCTTTTGTAAATTTTCTAAAAGCCTAGAGCCTAAATGTTTAATGTATCAAAGATCTTTTCACTCAAGAAATCATATTCACAAAAAAATTTAAATTTTTTGTTTTTGCAAATAGTTTTGAAATGAAGTCTTTCAAAATTTAAAACGTGCGCAACTAATAAATCACGTTTTTATCATTTTTGTCATTGGCAAAATTTGAGTTCGCGTGATGCAGGATAAAGGATGCAGGGTTTTTTGCTTTTTTGGAAGCAATGGTTGTTTCTACCTTACTCAATAAAAAAATAAAGCCTTATCCTTTTTAACGCAGCAAGAATCAAAATGCAATAATTAGAAGTCTCTAAGATGCCTCGTTATTGAGATTTTTGCTGATTTACTTTCCTTGATGCTTGTTTGCTTACCTATCATGCGATTTTCTCATGAATGCTACAGCCAATTTAAATTCTGTTTTTGCCCATTTGCTTTTTTTCCTCAAAATGCGAAAAACTGTTTTTCAAGCTGAACAAAAATAAAGTGAATACGGTGTGAATATAAAATCTATTTTAGGATATAAAATTTTTTTATATTCACATAGTTTTCACGTGTGAATCTATTGGTTTTGTTCAGATTGAAAAATCAGTTTTTCGCATTTTTTGAGAAAACGAAGCAAAATTGGTTATAAAAGGTCAAGAAGAAAAGTTTGTGCCTGAAATTTTACATCATTTTCAAAAAACAGATTTCAAATTGGTTGTGGCATTGCTGAGAAAATCGCAAAATACGCTTTCTGTAAGCAAGCAAGTTAATCAGCAAGAAATCTCAATAACGAGACATCGTAGAGACTTCTAGTTTTTTACATTTGATCCGTGCTGCTCTATAGAAGAGCTGTATTGTTTTTGGGCAAGGTAAGAACAGCCGTTGCTTCAGAAAAAGCAAAAAACTTTCCTTTCTTACGAATTTTTTTAAAACAAAAGTTGACTGTGATTTTTATAAAATTCAAGTTTGGATGAAAAATTTTTTTTAAAAATTTTTAAAGAATGTTCGTTAAGCTTTAGACCTTCAAACTTATGCTGAGCGAAGCTCAGTTGACTTATCAAGCTTCATACTGCTTCATCCCTTCATACTTATGCTGGGAAAATCTTGGTCTATCCATTAGACTTTTGATGTTACGGTGTGAATATAATCCGCATTGGGTTTCTGCCCGATACACTAGTTCTGACAGGTTTTATTTTAAGCTTTTCTTCAAAAGAGCTCAAGTTTGAAAGAACTTACAAAATATTACGTTTGAATTTTGTACGAATCACTTTAATTTGCTGAACATTTTCAATAAATTTGTGGCTATCAGTTTGTTTAAGCAACCCTGTATACCTGAATAATCAGAATAATTTCGAAATTTTGAGATTATAAACAATTAAATCTCTTAAATGTTCTAAAACCATTGGAAACCTTCTTGGGGCTTGTAGACATGGTTAAACAGCATCAGAACTGCCATCATTTTAAAATTCTAGTTAATTTAATAAGAATTTGAGCAACAGAATTTTAATTTTGCGTCCTTTTTATGTTTAAATCTTTACATTTTTCTTAGCAAAATGTGTAAACAAATATTATGATTATATTTATAAATCTAATTTTGTTAAGGGTAATTTACAATTATTTGAATGACTTTTGGAAAATTTCAGGAAAGAATCGAAAATTTATTATTTTGCCCATTAGAGGTTAACATATCTACTTCTAAACATTTGAACAAAACTGTGATTTTTAAACAGTTGAATGAATGAAGCGAAACAAAACGGAATTACGGCTACATTTTCTTTAAACATTCGAGCGAATCTCGAACATAATTTTATATGGAATAGCTAACATCTTTAGATCAGTTGAACTCACTTGAACCCACCTTGATTTTATTTTTTAAACAATTTGGAATAATATATTTTTAAAAAGCAAACATTCAACCAATATTTATGTTTTCTTCATATTTAAGTTTTTGGAATAATGAAATTGACAAATTAATAAGTGGGATTTTTTTTGGATGAAAATCCTATTAGATAATAAATCCACTTTTTAATACAAGTGGAATTATTATCCACTATGACAAATAAGTTTTTGGATTTGATTTAATCCATAATTTTAATCGTGTTCCATAAAGATAATAATCCCACTTAGAAATGTAAGTGAAATTATTATCTACCTGGGAGATAATAATCCCACTTGTAATTATAGGTGGGATTATTATCTTTCCGGAAGGATAATAATTCCACGTGTATTTCTAAGTGAGAATATTATCCCGCAGGGAACATTTAAAAATTTGCGATTTTCGGGGTTATTATCCCGCAGGATCGTGGAATTAATATCTTTCGGGGATTTTACCCCCCATCAGATAGATGAGGGTTAAAAGCGCTATATTATCAAAAAAAAAAAATCCAAAGGAAATTCTGCAAAATTTGCGTAAAATTTCCTAAACGGCCATTCAATTATGACATCCAGGTAGGGTGGACGATGTTTAGCTAGAAAAAAACAATAGATTTTCCTAGAAATCCATTGTTCTTTTTTAAAAAATGACCGTTAATTTCGGACATCATAAGTGAACGACTCCTAATCGTCTTTAATATTTTTTTTTGCATCTACCAAACATTTATTTAATTTTGAGAATGACTATTCTCTTTTCAGCAAACTAGTTATGCAAATATTTTGGGAGAATATCATCGTTTCTAATATATTTTTGGAACTTAATGCAGTTTCATTTCGGTCGAGAATAGCAACAGTCGTAAGAGCTGTTTTTTAACGATGCAAATTATTTTCAGAACTGCTCCAAATTATTTTTGGTTCTTTATAATTTGGTGTATTTCGAAAATTACTCAGTACATACTGAAACAGGAAAAGACAGTTTGGGAAGTGATTTGGGAGAGAAGTCTAATATATTTTGGTATGTAAACTATCAAATGTCATAGATTTAGTAGTTTCGAGCTAAGATTTTTATTTTCTGTGATGCAGACGAATGCTGGTATGGTACGGTACGGAATAGACTGTGCCCTACCTTACTAGCATCGGTTTAAGGCTCCTGAAAGCTATGATCTTTCAAAACTAATCATTTTCATATTCATTTTTAGATAACGATGAGTATAATTTATTCATAAATGGAATCTTTTTAACAACCTCTATCGGAGGACTTTGGTTATTAGCACTGTATACATTTTTTGATTTTACGCAAAAACCAAAATTTATCCGAAAATATAAAGTCAATCCAAATACACACGAGCCACCAGATCTTAAAGGAATGATGAAGGTAAAACTTCTGAATTTCTAGCGAAGCCAGCATCAAGAGAAGGGTTTCACATCAAAAGAGTTGAGCCTAACCTGGCTACGCTTTAAATTTCTAACCTCATGCAAAATTTAAATTCAATATTTTGACATTTTATTATTTCTAGATTCTTATTCTCGCTGCATTTAATGCAACCTTCATCACAAAACCAACTTTTATTTTAATATTTTATGTTCTTAAATGGCGGGAATTTCCAGACATTCAAGTTTTACCAAATATTCAAACCGTCCTCATCTCATGCTTCATAAGTGATCATCTGTATGATGCTGTTGTTTATTGTGTCCATCGCACCCTTCATCACAGATTCTTTTACAAGAGCATCCATAAGTTGCATCATGAATATAAATCGCCAATTGCTTTTGCTGCACTTTACTCACATCCGGTCGAGCAAGTCTTCCAGAATTCACTTCCACTATGTGCTGGATTATTTGTTTTAAGATGTCATATTGCTACGGCATGGATATACATGATATCATCAATGTTTTCTTCTACCATTACTCATTCTGGATATCATCTGCCGTTCCTTAATTCTCCTCAATGGCATGATTATCATCATATGAAGTAAGTTGTAGTCTCCATAAGTATCTCTAATAACGTGGACTTTTTGTCGGCATCTATGAATGATTGAGAAATTGGTATTTTGTGGGAATCGAACTCATATCCTTATAAATAAGTGGTTATAGATTTCAAGGCTCTTGCTTAACGACTCGTTAACCGAAGCTTTACTTTGCTATGGCAGATTTGCCTACACTTTTCAAAAAAATGTGCTGAGTAGCTGGATAGCTACAAGAATTGCTAACTGCTTCAAAAACTAGATACAATCTTTGATTAATTTCATATTTTTTCAACTTTATTTTTTAAGATTTGACTGCAACTACAGCACAATAGGACTAATGGATCGGATATTTGGAACGGATAAAATGTACAGGAACTCTGTATGTGAAAAACGTGATGAGCTTTTGATATCCTTCAAATCAACTAGAGAGTTGTATCCAGATAAAAATTAAAGAATCATAAAAGAAAAATAAATCCTTAAGGATATTAAAATGTTAAAAAATATTTTTTTTTTCAATTTTGAACTATTGTATATTTTGGTATCATTTAAAATAGTTATGAAATTTTGTTATCAATACTGTTTATCGTTTAATAAATCTAAACTTTTTCTAAAAATTCGAATATAAGTTTATAAAGTCCAAAAAGCTTTAATCTGTTTGATTTTAGTACAAAAGCTCAAGTTTTTAGTTTTCCTTTTTTGTGAATACATAAATACGCGTTACAAGGTGTTCTTCATGATCTATATGTAGTTTATAAGCCCCAGCAGCACGTTCTTCATTTTTTGCCTTCATAGCACCCTTTTGTTTTTTTTACGTCATCATAACCTAGATCAGTACATTATTTTTAAGCAAGTTGTAGGCTAGCATTTATTTTACTACTCTAGATTATCCTTAAAGTACACTTATTAAGCAAAACTTTAAAGATTTGTGTCAAGGAATAGGGTGTTGTCGAAGTAGTCACGAAAAAATGTACTCAATTTGTTGCAAGAATGAATAAACATTAACAATAGACTAACCTACATATTGCAAACTTTCCCATCTATTGAGTAAGGTCAATCCTCAAAAAATAAATTCAAACATCATTCGGAAATAAATTTTATTGATCAGTTCTACAGAATATCAGATTTACATATCATTCATCATGGGATTGAAATAATAAATTTATATATATTCCCAATAAATCATCTTTCAATTGCTACAGCCCAGAAATGCCAATTTGTGACCATTTCAATTCTTTAAGCCTGATTCTGTTGATATAAATATTCATATTTATTGTGAAAATTCATGATTATGAATCGCAATGGCGCTATAAAAGATCTCATAAAAATATCTTTAAGATCCCACACCGTTGGTGGTCCCATTCTTTAAACTTATTTTTTATCATTCGAGCAGCGCGCTTTTTAAAAAAGTTTTTATTATCTCACGTGCAAAATTCGAGTGAATTTCATCATAAAAATCTCATAATCAAATGGAATGAAAAAGTCACGATAAAGTGAATGGAGGAGATTATTTCATGAAAGTTATGGTTGAAGTAGCTACTAAAGTTGTGGGGAGGAATTAAAATGAATTTTAGGTTGAAAGACATTTTTGTGTCTTGATTTAGATGTTTATGGCTGTGGAGAAGCTGGGCTGAAACTAGTCAATTCGTTATGGGTCTATTGACATGCTTCTCCCAACTGTTTTCCCTTCTTGCTTGAGACTGCTCCCCAAAAATGCTAAAATTCAGCAGTTATGCTATTTTTCGCATCTAATTCAAAGCACAACCCTCAAATTTCAACTTTATGTCCCAAAAATAACTCAATCTTAAAGCAATCCTCGAAATTCAACATCAACCTTCTAAATATTGCATCCCCATCCCATCTAATACAACTTTCAACCATGTAAAATCATCCTAAAGCAGCATCAACTCTAAATAATATGAATCTTTAAAAAAGGATCCATGAAAATAGCAACATAAATTTTCAAAGTTTATGGACATGTGGCAAAAAGTCGAGAGGAGCATTTTAAAGGAGAAAAACTTTTTTTATCAGATTACAAAATTTATTCTGCAATCAAGAAGCAAGAAACTTTACTTACATAAATATTGAAAAAAAAAATTCTTTAAGGATGTCTTAATTAAAAGTTTTTTTTATTCTTGAGTGCTTGATATTATAATCATCTATTTTATAAGGAACATAATGGTGATGTAGATGAAAAGGAAAAAATTTCTTTGTGATATTTTAGCGATTTTTTGAGGAATGAGGGTTAGGTAAAGTCATTTTGTGCATCATATGGAGGTTAGAATCTAATGTTGCAAGGACTTAGCTAGGTGCATGTGGATGTGACATTGAAATCTGATCTCAAATAGTGTCTAGAGTTGTTCCTGTTAATGTTTCTTTAAAATCATTTTTGACATTGCTTTGAATCCCAGGAACTAAATCCCAGGGGGAAAACAACATGATGGGAAAATGTTTTTATGATTTTTTTACCATCATGTTGTTTTTCCCTTGGTTAAAAACTAGTAAAATCTAAAACCTAATCAACTTAACCTTAAAATGCGCTCCATACCTCTCCTCAACTTTGATCAATTCCAACAATACTTCAACTTTTTCCTTTTTCTTTATGAACTTCTTATTGAATAATGAAGATGAATATTGTTCTGTTGAGAGAAATATTCACAAAGCAATTAATCATCCATTACTTGTTGCTTACACTTGTGTATTGAGTGGAATGGGAATTTTGTGAGTTTTGATAGCAATAAATGTCTAAATATAAAAATAACTTGCTAATTAATTTCATTTGCTGAGAGTTTGTACAGCAAATAAGGCTACATTGCTATGGAAATTTGAGATTAAAGCAATTTGAGTTGGAGATAATAGAGGCCTAATTAGGAGGATAATAGGATGAATTCATTAAAATTTTTGTAATTGGTGAGGATTTAAAGGTATCCATGGTGATGTTTGAGGAAGTAAACCAGTAACCCCAAGCCTGAGAGACAGTCTGACTGTCGATCTGCAGCAAACTTAAAATTAGCCCAAAAACTACGCATTCGACTATAAAAAATTATTATAAACAAGCATGCATTCTCTTTAAACACAGAAAAATATCCACTCCAAAAAAAATTCACCTTGAACTTAAATTCACAAGAATCGCATGAAATAAGCTTCCATTTATAGCAACACACTTGATATTTTTGACCATCGAAAAAAAGTTGATCAAAAATTTCAGATAAATCCACAAAACGCAACGTCTTTGATGTAATTACATCCTTCATGCTGTGCTTTTTTAATTTAAAGCTTTCTTGTTTGTCCTTCAGGTGATATTTTCACACGTGTTTGTGCTTTTCCATTCCTATCCTAACTTACACACAGCCAGGCATACCTAAATACCCTCAAATATGACGAGCATTTCTGAAAAATTTTCACGAAGGTTACCCGAAAAAATCTTCCTCTTCATCCTCACTGAAAGTTCATTGCCATCAATGCCGGATAAGAGTGTCGAAGCAAGAAGAGCATCGAGAGAAAAATATTTGGATTATTTATATGACTCGGAGTATTTTTTTTTGATGGAAATTTTTCCTCATTCTGAAAATTTTTTTTCATTTCTTCTTTAATTGGATTTTTAATCTTTGCACTTTAAGTGAATAATAATTTACACGCGGTGATAATTAAATTAATTTGTTAAAATTTAGGTTTATGTTTTTTTGGATTAGATGAGTAAATTTGGGTGTTTATTGTAGATTGTATCGGTTTCGAGGGCTATTTGAAGTACTGATTTATTCAAATAAACATTTTAGACTTATGACGTCCAGGGTGGGGGGGGGGGGGGGGGGTCAGCAACAAAAGAACAATAGAAATTCCTGAAATCCATTGTGCTTTTTTGAAAAATGACTCCTTGCTGATTTCGGACGTCATAAGTGAACAACCCTTGCTTAAACTCTAATTTTGAAGCACATTTGTTTTCGAGTCAGTTTCGGGCCCCTAAGAAACTGGGGAGAGGGGGGTGACAAGGTGGGGAATTAAAGTTTTAGTGGGATTAAGGGGGTCCGAGTTTGAGGGGGTTTGTGAAGCCATTTATAAAATTTTTGTGGGATTGAGTCCGAGTTTGAGGATGTTTGTGAAGCCATGTGAAGTTTTGTGAAGCTATTTATAAAGTTTTTGCGGGATTAAGGAAGTACGAGTTTGAGGGGGTTGTGAGGCCATGTGAAGTTTTGTGGTAGGATTGACCTTAAAACCATTATGGTTATTTGCGTCTTACAGTTATTTACATAATAGTAATCAAATTTTAACCCTGATAAGAGGCGCCACGGACGCCTCCGGATAGCCTAGTGTCAAAATAACTGGCAATTTCTCTTAATAAATATTTTAAAAAAATTAAAAAAGTTAAATTCAATAGAATATCATGAAAGCTTTATTTACAGCTTCTTATCACTACCTTCTTAGTGCCTCATTAGCACCTCCCTATTCCACAAAAATTAATGAAGCATTTTTAAAACAAATTATCCACAATAAAGATAACAATAAAATGTCACATACTTACAATTACTTTTAAAAACCTGAAAAAACTGCGATATCATATCACTTAACATAATGAAAATGTTCCAGCATTAAACAATCAATTGAGATGAAACTCAAAAGCATTTTTTAATTAAGGAACGTAAAATAAATTTTCCAAATGCATTAAAAGAGTTTCTTGATATGAAAATTACACAAAAGATTGAAGATTAACGATAAAGTATTGTTGGCGTCACATTAGTCATCCACGTTCGATTTTCTTCAAGAAACTCAATATGTAAGAGCAGATGAAGACTTACTTTTAAGAAAGGTTCCGCATAGGTATCATAACAATAAATGTAAATCTCTTTTCAGAAGTTAAAATTAGCTGATGTGGAAAGGAAAATAATTGAATGCAAGTTATGAATGTTGGTTGAGGTTTAGAATGGGAAGTTAGTGCGCATCCTTAAATTAAACAAAACTAGCAGTCAAAAACATAGTCATGCGGACCAATTAATTTAAGGACACTCCAAATTCAAATACCAAACCAGCCACAACATCGATTTTTACCATCAAATTGAGCTACAATTTTACATTCCCAATCTATCAGTTGAACATACAATCAGCATAAGGAAGTGTGGAACTAAAGAGCCAACAATAACAATAAACAAAAGGCAATGGCATAAAGAAGCAAATAGAAAATGTGTTAAAATAAAATTTAAACATGAATTGCAACCGAAGAACATTTGCTGAAGCTCAAAGTATCACCCACATGAACATAGCACACGATCTGTGATCACTTTTATTTATTTTCTTACAAATTCAATTATATTTTAAACCACAGAGGGAAATGACGCGATGTCTAATTCATTTTGCTTGTAATCAAGATTATCATAAATTTGTTTATGTCATTTCGTGCTAGCTTTAATGTCTTATTTGTTAAAGAAACTCTCAATTCCCATTATTACGCCTCCACGTGTGTTAAATGTTGCAGA